ATTTTTAACTAATTTCATTGAGAAACAAATAGCAATGAGACAGTTTCAAAACAGGTTAGTAGGACAGTTACAATAATTAATACATTGCATATTGTTGTCTTCGTAGTAGTGAAATAGTTTGTTTTTTAAGTTAAACATCATTATATTAAATTCTATTGCAATTGTGAATCCTAAGATAGGAACCTTGAGAGCTGGGCATTTAAGATAAAATTGGCATGGCTATCTTAAGAATATCTATGGGATGAATACACTTTGAGATGATCAACCCTGCAGAAATGTTGCTGATTGCCAATTGAACTGATTAGAAAGGAATTACTTTTGTGTACGTTTGAGGAAGAGGAGAATCGGGGTTGATGGGAAGTGTGAAAGGAACCGCATGGCTGTGCACACCTGTGAGCGTGCAGTGGTGAGGGTTAACGGGCAGGCTCGGGTGTTGGTGTAGACGGGCCTAGACACAGACAGGCCCCTAGAGTGGAACTTTGTTAAGGCATTCCCATCAGTGCTAGGCTTCGATGATTAGAGAGGAGGTACCACAGGGTAAAGCTTTAGATATGCCTCTTATGCTTTAGTATCTTGTTCAGCATTAAGATTATGGAAGATGCAGCACAGAAGGAGAATTGCTTTGAACACTGTGTGTGCGCAGATGCCTAGAAACGCTACAGGTTGGCCAATACCATTGGTAACTTATTAATCCTAACCACCCGAAAGGCGAAAACACTACAATTTTTTTCTTTATTTTTAGTATTACTTGGTGTTAGGAAAGCAAATGCCTAGAAAACACATAATGATGCAACCTCAGCACAATGTTATAGTTTGAATAATTTCATTGCTTTGGAATAAAAGGTAAAAATTGAAGGAAAAGAAAACTTCGATTACTGGAAGACCTGATGTAGTGCCTATGATAAATAATTATTTAAATGTTCATGAATAAGACGTACTAGAAACCATGCTATACATAAGACAAATCCAATATCTCCAATCCACATACAAAGCATCCCTTGTGAGGCAGCAGGGTCTCTGTCTGCTCTCTCCCCTGAATCATCAGCCAATTAATAGGAGTGACATAATCCCTACACTTTGTCATCCAAAGAAAAGTTGGAGTGAATTAGCCCTTACCAATATCATTGGAATAAGCATCACTATTCAATATTTTAAAGTCTTATCAATGCTTATATCTGAGTGCATCAGAGAAAGTCCAAAAACAGATCATGTTTTGATCAGTGCTACAGCTATCAATGTAAGTGGGGAAGTAGTCTAGTATAAGATTTATACAGGTGTACCTCGGTTCATGAACTCAATTCTCTCTACAATTCTGGTCAAAAACCAGATTGGACAACAGCCAAATCTCATTTCCCCATAAGGTCAACATGAAGCCTAATTGTTGGATCTGATTTGATGCTCACCCAGTTTGGGTCAGGTGAAGACTGAGATCCTTCAAAAGCCAGAAGCGGGCCTTCCCTCCTCCTGTCCTTTCATCCCATTCAGCCCCAGGTGCTGTCTTCCAGCGAGGGTCTTCTGTCTTCAGGAAACCCCTTCAGCCACCCCAGAACTCTGCTGATCTCTTCTTTGGGCATCTCTCACTGGAGTTGGCACAGCCAGCTAATGATCACCCATGCATTACACTAAATTTGTATTTGTGCATACATATACCTGCATGCTCCCCAGACAGGACCCTCACCCTTGAAGGATCCTACTAGCTAAAAATGAAGAACTCATGGCTATATTACTTCTGGTTTGAGCAACCAAAACAACTTTGTCCAGAAGATGTGGCTACTAAATTATACTAGTGCTGGGCAAAACAAAGCCTACACAGGGTAGAGGGGGAGAAAGAGTGGTAGAAGGGAGTGGGTAAGAGAAATACGGTCTTTCCACCTCCTCTTCTTCCTTCTCCTCCTCCTCTTCCTTCTCCTCCCCCACCTCCTCCTCTCCCCCTCCATAGATACATATCTTACTCATCAGAAAGGGCAACAGAGTCCATGGGGGGGAGGCACAGCATCAGCCCCCCCACCCTGGGAGCCCACCACAGCCATCACTATAAACTCACTGCCCTTCCAAAGGTGGTAAATTCAGTGGTGGCCTCAATCTAGGCCTCCCTAGGGCCATAGGCAAAGCTTCCTTGGTGCTGCATTCTCCAAGGCTGGCCTTAGCTAGAGCTCTGGCCACGCCTCAGCTGCCCACTGCTCTGGGGCCGCCTCTGTCTGCTGCAGAGTCCACCTCGCCTGCCCTTTCCAGTCCTGCCTCAGGAGGAGGACAGATCACAGTCCTGCTGCTTCCTTTGGCTCAAGGCCCAAGCAGCAGCCTCCAAGGATCACACAGACATCACGGCAACTCCAGCTCTCTCTGAGTGGTTTTGTATCACTTCTTCTGCAAATGAAGTTAACTTTCACTTTGTGCCATTTCAGACCCTTCTTCACGTAGAAATAGAGACCAGCCCAGGAAAGCCACAGAGGGTGAAGACCCCTCTTCAAGCCCCTGCAGCCATACCCAGTTGAGCCCTGGTGACACTCTAGGGCCACCCCTCCCCAGTCAGGACCCTGCACCCACTTGAGCACCACCTCAGGAACATTCTGTGTAACCCCTTCTGCTCCCTTTTTCTCACTCTGGAGCAAGAAAGGATGGAGGAGTCGGAGTCTGAGAGAAACGAGCTGCCACTCGGCCAAGGGTGAGGGGGATGGGGACTTCACACCCTGTGTGCCTCTGAAACAGCAGGTAAGTCCCACTGCAGCACAGACTGAAAGGGCAGCTAACATGGGCAGCCAACCCCAAAAGATGAGGAAGATGTCTCACTGGGCCCTTGGTCCGACACCAGCTTCTGAGTCGAGGCCAGGCTGTGATTGTCCAGTGATTGTCAGAGGTCACTACTGTCACCATCTAAGGGAAGAAAGAAGATGGGCTGGGGCATGGGGAACCTCATTTTGGCTTCCTGATCTGCAACCTGTAGGTCTTATTTCCTGAATCTTGCCAGGCACGTGCCTTATTCCTGTCACTTAGGGTCCATGAGGCTGAGAAATACGTTACAAAGACACAGTACTGGTCCTCCTTGCTATAATCATTGAGCACCTGCTGTCTATGGAGCCCCTGCTAAGCTCTGCTCAATGTCTTATTCCTCAAGATGTGGCCCCTGGACCAGCAACCTTGGCATTGCCTGGGAAAAGGCTGGAAATGAAGTATCTCAGGTTCCACCCTAGTCCTGTCCCCCACCCCTCAGTCTCCCAGGGAGTAGAAGTGCCCAGGAATTGCTGGTGTCTGGGAACGTGAGTCAAGTGCTTTCTGCCAGCTGACAAGGATGGCTGCTTATGAAAGGCTTCAGCCCCCCACTCCAGGAGCAAAAGCACAAAGGATGTAATGTGTACCACAGTGATGTGGAGATCCGGAGAGTGCAGCATTCAGCAGCATAGTGAAGGGCAGGACAGAACAATACAGGCATTAGCCACTTCCCCGGAACAAGTCAGGCTGCAGTGAGCTAGTTGTTTTCAAGTCACTCATAATAGCACCATGAAAGCAATTCTGTTTGCCCTTCCTGAGGAGCAGGCTAACATTCCTAGAGCCGCTCATCCAGCTGGGCTGTGGCTAACAGAGATCTCTGCTTCTTTAGCTCTTTGTGGACTCAGAATAGTGAGCCAAAATAAGATACAATCCTTGGTGCTTGGCTGCTCAAGGATCAAGCCTTCTGGTTTCCCTGGTTCATGGCTGAAGCCCAGAAGTTAGCGTGGCTCCTGGCTGCGCCGGGTGCTCAGCCAGTGTCTGCGGGAGGAGACCCATACGTGGCTAGCACCACGCTGACAATTGTGAGGAAGTAGCAGTGCTTAGCAGGAGCCAGACTCCAGTCAGCAAGTTTCTGGATCTTCCAAATAATGCACAACAGCTGTTTTCAGCTTCTTGTCATGAAAAAAGAAAGAGCAGCCTCTTTCTGTTCACAAACACATGCACACTCACGCAGGCACACTTACACAGATATGGCGTGCCACACACACAGCACATAGCCGTGCTGTGCACACAATCAACATGTCTCTCTACATGATTGTACCCATAGCAAGCCAAGCATCAAGAATTGTGTCTTCCCGTAATTTCTAGCAACTTTTAGTTTGTATTACACACACAAACACACACACACACACACACACACACACACACCCCAGAAAAATATTTGCAGGGACTACTGTTCGTGGTGAGCCCTGGGACATGTTTCTCCCTGCAGAACTGTCTGAAACTGGACAAATCCAGTCTCATCATTCTTTAGAGATCAGAGAAAACATCCTTTGAGGATATCCAGGCTGGCCTGGCATAGGGGCCCTGCAGGACCTCACTGTGAAGGTCTGTTGTCACAAGAGAGTTGGGCTGTCTTGTTTCCCTCCTTACTAGGGAGACTGAATCCAGCACCTTCATAGGGAGCTACATCCTCAGCCATTTTTAAATTTTTAATTAGAGACAAGTTATCTCTAAGTTGCCCACCTTAGTATAAACTTACAATCCTTTCGCCTCGGCCCCCAGAATGATGGGATTCCAGGCATTCACCACTCTTCCTGGCTCCGCTGTCCATTTACCTTCATCTTCTGTGACTGAAGCCCAGAGAGCTGATGTCCTTTCCACTATCCTATCTCTTTCAGATGTACACTGTAAACTCCATAAACCTGCTATCAATATTTTCTTATACCATTGTGCATGAAGTGCCAAAAAAGGAAAATAAAAAGAACCAGCAAGGGAGGGAGGAAAGTGAAGGAAGAGAAAAAGGAGAGAATATAGAAAAAAACAAAGGAAGGAGGGAGTGAAAGGTTGAAGGGAAGATACAAGGATCTTTCCAATCCCACCTTTTCCTCAGTCTGGTTTGTACCTCTGAGGACTACATTTCCCAGGCTGCTTTGCACACTGGACTGGTTTAACCAATATGAGGTCATAGAAAGAAAAGGAGGTGGAGAAGAAGGGAATCCTGGGTATTTCTACTTATGCTTTCCTTTTCCTGCCCCTACCAAACCACCTCCTCTCTATAGTTCCGGCTACTTTCAACAGCCTTAACTATGGTCCTAGCTCCTTCTGAATGGTTCTAGCTCTTTCTGAATGGTTCTGGCTTCTACAAATATCAGTTCTTCTTCCTGTTATTTCAGTCCTAAAGAAGAAACAACTTCTCAGTGCTGCTAGTATCCAGGTAACCTCATCATTCCTTGTTTGGCTTCTCAGCTCTTTTATCAATTGTGTAACCAATTCCTTGTATTGAATGCTCTGTGTGAAAGTTCTGGGGTGTTTTGCTGTGTTTCATTTTGCTTTTTGTCTAGAGCCTTCTGTGGGTAGTCTCATTAAGCCAATCATCTAAATTATTGTGCAGATAAGGTCTGTTTTTAATGTATTCTACAAACTTTTCCACCACATTCTCCACTGTCATGTGTGTCTCATCTTGTTCCCACAATGCTTCCATTTATTTTTATTTATTTCCTTGATACAGGGTTTCACTACACAGTTTGAACTCATAGTGATCCTCCTGTCTCAGCCTCCCTAGTGCTGGGATTGCAGGTGTGCACTACTCAGGGCCGGCAGGGTATGCTCGGGTTCTGGGGCCCCTAAACAGCATACAGTTCTAGATATTGAACTCAGGACCTTGCACTTGCCAGGCAGGTCCTTATGCCACCAACCTATTTCTCTTCCACTTTTTTAATTTTAAATCTCTAACAAATTCTCTGTAACACTAAGTTGTTCATAAGTAAGCTTCACCCTGTCTGCTAATTTTTTTCCTTTGTACTAAATAATATTTCCAGCCTTTTTTGTATTTTAATAAGGGTCTAGAGGGTCTACAGGGTCTCACTACATAGATCGGACTCATAGTGATCCGCATCCCAAGAGATGGGATTACAGGAATGGGCCACCATGCCTAGTCTCAATTGCCGTCTCAGCATGCCCCAGGGGTGAGGTCAGCATGGCTCAGCATGCCCCAGGGGTGAGGATCGTACCCCAGCTGCTGCGCTCCACCTAAGCAGGCGCTTTTGTCCATGGAGCTATTTGGCTGGCCATTCTTACTTTTTTCTAAGTTACTAAACTGCCCAGGCTGGGCTCAAACTTGTAATCCTTCTGCTTCAACTTCCTAGAGTGCTGAGATTATAGGTGTGCTGTTCCGTGTCTGGCTCCATCTTCCAATTCTTACTAAGGTGTGAACCACAAATAACCTTTCTCTTTACCTTTCCTAGGAATCTCTGCATTTGAACCGGGAGCCAACTCTAATGCCCAGGTAATGGACATGCGGATGGGACAGACTACTACTGTTGGTTTCTTCTGTTACTTCTAGTCATGCTTTGGAGCAGAAGGTGCTGGCCACACCCAAAATCCGGGCAGACGGCATTCTGGGGAAAGAACGAGGGCCAGGGAAATGCAAAAGCGATTACTCAAAGTGTAAGTGCGCCGCAGAATCTCACAGGTGTGGGGCGTTCGCGCAGGCGCACTGGGCCCCATTCGCAGGGCTTCAGATCCCCAAGGCTGCAGGCCGGCCTGAGCACAGGCGCTTCTGATACATTCTGGGTGTTGCGGATGCTGCAGGTCTGAGGGTGACGCTGCTCTGGGAACCCCTGTGTTCAATATAACAGCCTGTACTTATTAGGACCATAATATGCATCACAAGCTGCTTTAGGTTCTTTTCAAGTATTAAATCACTTAATCACCACTGATTTCAATAAGGACACTGAGGACCAGAGAAGCTAAGAGCCCCAAGGGTTCCCAGCAAAGTTGGAATTGGGTGAACCTGGCTCCAAAGCTTGACTTCACACTAGGCACAGGCTATAGGACACCCCAAATCCAGGGTACAGAAAATGGGGAGGCATGGGCCTAGCTCACATGCTAGTTGTGGGGTCCGGGGCAAGTCATGGTGATGTAGCTGTGCCTCAGTTTCTTTACTTACAAAAGGTGAGTCCTAATCATCACTGTCTGGTAGAGCAAGAAACGAGACTTTCTGGGCCAGCGAGACAGCTCAGCAGACCAAGTGCCTGCTTGGGCAAGGGCAAGAACTGGGATTCGATCCCCAGCACCACATGCTGCGCCGGCCCCGCCCCCGGGCATGCTAAGCTGGGGACCAAGTCTGGGCATGGTGGCACACACCTGTAATCCCAGCGCTGGGGAGGCTGAAAACAGGAGGATCACTCCAAGTCTGAGCTGTGTACTGAGACCTTGTAAATACATGAAAAAAAAAAATGAGACTTTCACAAACAAATGAAGCAGACACAGGACCACCTCCTAAATAAAACACCTGAACCAGTGGCTCCTGTTCAAGCTGTCAATGAACTCACATGAAGATAAATGACAGGTGTAAGCTATTTAGCCCTGTGCTTGGCATGCTGGGTAGGTAAGAAGGACCAAAGCAATAACAATGTGAATAGTCACCTCTAAGGAACAATAGGAGCCGGGGAGATACCTCAGTAGAATGAACGCTTGCTTGGCAAGCACAAGGAACACGGTGTGCTAGCAAGGTGTGGGCGTGCACACCTGTAGCCCCAGCAGCTTGAGAGGCCAAGGCCGGAGGATTACAATTTCAAGCCCAGCCTGTGAAACTTAGCAAGACTCTGCCTCAAAACAAAAACATAACATTCATAACAAAGAACACTAGTTCTTAAACATTACACGCAGTAAGTTACTTGATATCTATCCAGTAAATTTAGCTATTATTGTTTTCTCATTGTCACTCATACACTTTCAACCCAGGCTGAAGAACACTGTTTTCCTCTGTTCCTTTCTGTCCCCTTTGCTGTGTGGCCCCTCACCCTTCTTCATCCCCTTCCTGATACTTATGGTTCTGAGCACATCTCAGTCCTCCTGTTTGCCTCCCTGTCTGTGACACCTACCCCTCCTCAGGGCTGCTGCCGTAGGATTTCCTGGGACCCTCGTGCTCTGCCTGGGAGCTCCTCTCACCATAAAAATAGCACCACTGATCATTGTTTTGTGTAACGAAATGCTGAAACAGTTTGCTCTCACCTTTTTTATAGGCCAGATTTAACTCGTTTTCATGAGCTCTGTGAATTTCATTTTTTCCCCCGAACAAGAAAAATGTTAAGACATCCCAAACATTTCATTAGTTCCTTTTCACTGCAAAGAATTTAAAACACAGTGGGCTCATAAAAGTATGTCAGGCCTTGTGGGTGGGTAAGGCCCTGAGGAGCCAGGAATCCGACCCATTGGGTCTGGGCAGGCCTGCTGCAAAGCATCATGGGAGTAGGCACTATGCAAATATGCCTGCTCAACATACCACCTTTGCCTGATGCCTTCTGGATGGCAAAGGCTTGGAGTGGTTGTCACCCTAGGGTGTCCCTGAGGCCTGATCTGGAGGATGGAGAGGGAGACTCACAGAGCAGCCGTCTTCGGGCCGCCCCGGGCAGGGACAGCATCCAGAATGACCCTCGCCCTCCTCCCCAGCAGAGTCCCTGGCTGACCTGTTGAATGGGCCTTTCATTTCCCTGACCCCGGGGTCATCTGTTTTCAGAAGGTGAAATATGGCTGCCTGGGCCAGGACAGAAGCCAGGGAGATAAGCGCCGAGGAGGAGCCTCCCGTCCAACAAGCCGTGACTAATGATGATTGGGGTGTGTTTGGCGGGGCAGAATTTATTTGGTTGCTAGTTTCCCAGGGATTAACTCTTGGTGGATCTTGAGCCAGTGGCCCAGGGTGTCCTGGCTTCCCAGGCACCATGGGCTCAAGTTTCTGTTCCCCCAGGCTCAAGAGAGGGGCAGGTGTGGAGCAGTGGGGACAAAGCTAGAGATGGGGACGGGGGAGAGGTGAGCTTGTAGGCCACGACCTTGAGCCTACAGCCACAATGAAATTAGCTTCTGTTTCTCATGTGTTCCTGTGTCACAACCACAGACACGAACGACTTCCGTGCATCGTCTCTTTCACACATAACAGCTCTGTACAGTTCTGACCATCAGCTAAGCCCGCTAGCAGACAGGGACACTGAGATGCATGTATTAGTGTTCATGTTGGCTAATGGCCGAGGAAGCAGCCCTTGGAGCAGGCAGTGCCAGGGCTGGGATTCGACTGGAGAATCAGTGTTCCTGACACCAAGGGTCTTGAATCCGAGGGCAGCCCGGGCAACTCAGCAAGATCTGGTCTCTGTATGCAAAAACAAAAAACGGTTGGATTGTCAACCAGTACCCTCTGGTTTTAATCTCCAGTACAGAGAAATTGTTTTAGAATCCTCATGACCCATGGGTGCCCGGCCACTGTGCAGCCAGGAGGATGGAAGTAAAACAGTGCCCTTCTTACATCCCGGGAGGGAAGAGGGGGAGTGAGAACCCCTGTGCACATGCACAAGCCCTGTGGGGACCTGAGAGATGCCTGGGCACATCACGACATCGTTGCCTTCCCAACTGTCCAGTCTGTTGTCCTGTAGAGATCTCTCCCCCAGCAGAAACACACCTGCACACGTGAAGACATGCCTGTCTGAGTAGCTGTTCATTTCAATCTCATGTATAGGGGCTGGCAGAATAGTTCAATTGACTAAAGCACCTGCTTAGGTAAGCTCAGGGACCAGGGTTCAATCTCCAGCATCACATGCCACACCAGCCCCTCACCACATGCTGAGCCAGCCACAGAGTCCTAGCATAGTGGTGGATGCTTGTAATCCCAGCACTGGAGAGGCTGAAAAACAGGAGGATCACTATGAGTCGGAGCTGTATACTGAGACCCTGTACCAAAAACATTAAAAATAAATAAAACTCAATTTAAAAAAATCTCATCTACATCAATGGTTCACAGCCAGGGCTGTTTTTCTCCTCACAAGACAATGAACAAGGTTTACAGATACACTTTTAGTTGTCACAACTTGGGGGCAGTGTGTGCACTTGGTAACTGTGGACAGAGGTCGGGGGCACTGCAGAACCCCAGTATGGTGAACAGGAACATTCCACAGTGCTCCAGTGTCCACGAATGAGGTTCGAAAGGCTGGTCTCGGCTAGTGGTCCACAGTGTAGTGTCTTAAGCGTTGCAGGCAGCTAACATAGATAGAAATATTATAGGCAGTCAGACAGGACCAGGCCCTTGAAGGAGACAACAAAGAAGACAAGATACCTTACAACTGTAAGGGATGGATGCTGCTGCTGTGGGCCAGAACTAGAGACCAAAGACCGAACAAATGCTGACCTCCCTGAAGATAAGCATCCAGGATTGATCATCACCTGGAGGAAGCCAGGAAGAGTCAGTAATACAACTGCTACTGGCTGGCTACTGGATAAACTCCTGTTCTATACTCATGCCCGCTTGCTATGTGACTCACTTCCCCATTTGGTCCTGAACTGAATCAACTTTACTTGAGCAATGGTGCTTGTAATCTCTTTGGTTGACCATAATTTTGTCTCACTTCATGCCCACATAAGTGAGATCCCATGTTCTCCACCTTAGACCCACATGGTTTTACTCTATAAAAATCACTGGAAGAGACAGCTTCCTGGGGACCACCCGCTCAGGGTGCCCCTCCTGCCCCTCTCTCAGACAGGAGCTTTCTTTCTCCCAATAAATATATTCTGCTCATAACCTCCATTTATTCCTAAAGTTCATTCTTTGGTTTTAGAGAACACGAACTCATCCTGGGTACCTTTCAGATCCGGAGTTTCAGTTTTTCCCCTATACCATAAGGACCCTGATAAAAATACAGATTACAGGGGAAGAGGTGCCCGAGGCAGAGGACTGGCTGCAGAAGAGCTGGAAGCTAGTGCTGGAATCCATATTCCCACTGGCAATTCAGGCGATGCTGACTGAGTGATCAGAGATTTGACACTGTCTCTTCTGGTCCTGGTAACCCAAGTCAAAGATTATTGGAGAATTTAAACAGAGCAGCCCTCACCAGCCCCCCAAGTCTGTCCTCCCCCGAAATCCAGCCAGCTTGTCTCCTAGCCCCAGAGTTCACAGGGTTTGCCTATGGGCTGCATCTCTAAACCATCTAGGCGATCTACAGTTTCTCTGCCTCGGCTGCCTTTCACTTTTAAAACCAGGAGGAATTCGAGGAAAATGTAATCCATATGTTTCAGAATCATTTACACTTAAATCATGAAAGTATGCCGTGGTTTTTAAGAGCTATTTGATGTCCAAAACACCTTGCGAGGATCTTTAAAATAAGTGTTTTAAAGTCTCTTTTTACTTTCAGTCGGATTTTGCTCTGGGTAAGTGAATTCAGACGAGATAGATCTGGGGGGGGGGGGGCTGCCGGAAAGCCCCAGTCATGAATGTGAAGGAAATTCGACCCTGAACAAATCAGTTCTTCTCCTCCTCTCTCTCACAGGACCCCTTGAGATGCAAGATGCATGATGCGTCCGTCTTGTGCAGTGGAACCCATCTCGGTTTCCCAGTGAGTGTCGATTCCAACGGCCACTCGTTCCAGTCTCTACCCATCCTCCTCCTCATCTTGCTCCCCTAAGTTGCTTGGGGTCCATTTTCAAACCATTCTTCTTCACTTTACATGGAGATCTAATTCCTCCTTCCAGTGGGTTTGATATTTCTAAATAGTAACTCCACTCTCCTGCCAACAGCACATTTAAACTCCTCTTCCTGCCCCCCAGGGGGACCCAGAGGGAACTCACTTTAGAAGTGATTGTGGATTCGCTTACAGAGCAGGTGTCCCTACCTGTCTGAAAAGAGATTTGGCAACGCATCTAATCTAAGACATGCTTCTCCGCGACAGTTCTGCCTTGGAAAACTGTTCCAGGGAAATCATTCTAATGGGGAGTAATTATAGCTTTTCACCCGGATACATTGAGTGCTAGTTATAATGGGGAAAGATTGAGAAAAACGTAACACTGGAGGAGGTGGTCTGTTTTTGTTTTTTCATTTTTCTAGTACTGAGGGTTGAATACAAGACCTTTGAACTAAGCTATATTCTTTTTTTTTCTTTTTTTTTTTTTTGTGTGTGTACAGAGTTTCACCAAATCACGACTCACACTAGGCAGCTCAGACTAGCAGTCTTCCTGCCTCAGCCTCCGAGAATGCTGGGATTGTAAGTGTGAGCCGCCCTATCCAGCCTCAGGCTGCTGAGCCACAGCAAGCAGAATGGTCCTTTTGTAATACACAAGCAGGACGGTTGTACAGGTGTCCTGGGTGCGGAGCGGCTTGGGGACATTTCTTAGAAAGTGCCAGAATGGGTGGAATACTGGAAAGAGGAAAAGGCTTTCCACCCAGGTGAGCCAAAATGAGCAAAAACAGGCAGGTAAGTAGAAAACTGCGAGTCGTTGCAGGTTGGGGGTGTTGCTTAAGCAGGGAGCAGTGTGTGGAGGACTTGAATGTGGACCTGAGCAGGTGAGGCCATGGCCTAAAGGCCAGAGGGAGCCCCTGAAGGTATCCGAGGCCAGAAGAGCTCAGCCAGCTTCCAACTTGGCAACACGGCTCTGCCCACAGCACAGAAAAAATATAAAAGCGGAAGACGAGGCTGCCTACTTGAATGGCACCCAAAGGAGATGCTGAAAGCATTAATGGCCCAAGTCAGTTCCTCCCTTCAACACTCCTCCCTGGGCTAGCATGGAGGTGGGGTTTGTCTGAGTCCTGCCTAAAGGGCTGTGGCAGAACTTGATGAGTGACTGGACCTGGGGAACAAGGCAAGGGGTGGATGGGCCTGGGTTTGTGGTGCAGACTGTTGGGGAGCTGCTAGCATGACCCCATGAGCCGAAGGCGAAAGCATGGGGGGTATAGGATGGGCCGAAGGAGAGATGGCCAGCCCAGAGTGGCTGGCTCCTCAGCCCTGGGGACAGGACAGGCTGGGGCTCCAGTGTGACACCTGTCAGCATGACTTCGGGATCTGGGACCATGTGTGAAGGGAAGGTCGGAGAAAGAAGGTGTAGAGGACTTGAATGTCAACCTGAGCAGGCGAGGCCACGGCCTAAAGGCCGGAGGAAAGAACTGTCAGTGACATGACAGGGGACAGTTTAAAATCATAACCTCACTGTCAGAAGTCTGTGGCTGCATTAAAAGTCCAGGGTGTCTTCCAAGAGAAAAGTGGCTCACTAGCTGGGTGTGTGTGGAGACATCTATGCAGACAAAGCAAAGCGAAGATGGATATGGGAAGCAGACGGGTTAGCATATGATTTAAAGGGAGCATATGGGCATAGACAGACCATGGTCATGGATACGAGAATGGGCAGCACAAGGGATTATAGTAGAAATGGAGACCCAGGGGGGAGAAGAGAGAGAGAGGAGAGAGAGAGAGAGAGAGAGAGAGAGAGAGAGAGAGAGAGAGAGAGAGAAAGTAGGGCCTAAGGGATAAGGATGAAAGCCAAAGCCAAAGAGAGAAGGAGCCATAAAGAGAGAGGCCAGCTCAGGGCCAGTCTGGCTCCCTGTTCTAGGGTGAGGGTTTCCCTGGACTTGAAGGAAGAGCACTGGGTAAGAAGGACCCCGGCTCCTCTGTAGAGCCTCTGTGCCTGCCCCCTGCCCCCTGCCCCCTGCCTCCTTGCCTCCTGCCTCGGGCCTCTTGCCCCCTTTTCCCCTGCCTCCTGCCTCTCTCCTCCTGCCCTCTGCCTCCTGCCTCCTGCCCCTTGCTCCTTGCCCTTTGCCCCTTTCCCTTTTCCCCCTGCCTCCCGCCTCCTTCCCCCTGCCTTCTCCTCTGCCCCTTTTCCCTTTCCGCCTGCCGCCCACCTCCCATCTCCCACTTCCCACTTCCCACCTCCCGCCTCCTGCCTCCCACCTCCTGCCCCCTCTCCCCTAGCTCCAGCCCAGGAAGCTTAAGGAGAGCTTGCATCCCCAGCAGGGCAGATCTCCGATGGTTCTGTTTGCAACTGGAAATGGGGGAGCGAGGTTAGTTTATTTAAAAAGAGGCATTTTAAACACACCTAGCAGCACCATGAAAAGATGTCCTGGAGAGCTTAGAGGTAGCTTATGCCTGGAGGAATTTAAGCTGATGCTGGATGAATCTTTGAGCATGGGATGCTAGCAGGTGCATCCCCTGCTGCACCATCATGCCCGAGAGCACCCGAGGACAGGATGTACCCGTTCTTTGCCTTTTGTAGCGTTGTGCTCAGCACAGAACTAGCACTGAACAGTGTGGTTATTATCATCAGCAGCATCAGAACGTCCAGGTGACATGAGGTCAGGCAGTGCCAGTGACGGCCTCCCTAGCAGGCCCTCTCCTACCACCAGCCCTGCACTGCCACTAGCATTGTGATTTACCAAGAGAAGCCAAAACTACAGGTCACAGGTGAAATGTGAAAATCCTGGTTCAATGTAGGCAGGTCAGAGAAAATATGAGCGACAGCCAGCTCTGCTCAGGTTCCCATGGTGACCTCGAAGCTGGGGCCTGTCTCATCTACGCTTCAGCATTGGACCTCTGGGGCTCAGTTTCCATCCTGATTCTCCAGCACCTACTTGCTGGGTGAACTTGAGCTTGTTGCCTCACTGCTCTGTGCCTCAGTTTCCTCCCTTGGGAAACTGGAAAACTACTATAGTACTTCGTGCCCAGAATCAGCGAGTGGATGACGTCAGATAGCACAGCCCAAGCCCCTGCCTGGTGTCCCACACGTGGTAAGCATTAGTAAGTGATAATTGCTGTTGCTGCTATTGATTCTGCCTGTGTTCAA